CCACCTCATCCTCCTGAAAAACATGGAAAAAAAAAAAAAATCACAAAAACAAACCTCCAGGAAGAATAGCAGCTCACGCTCACTGATGTGTACCACCCCCCCAGACCCATATCTTTTGATGCTTTCTGGACCTGGGTTTCTGCCTCTGAACTTCTCAACCAGTCTGACTCTCCTTTTCTTCCCAGCTCTCCCTTCCCACCGCCTTCTCCCCAGACCACCGACCACTGTGGAGCACCCAACAAGCCTCCGAGGTCCTCCTGGCTGCCCTCCAAGCTGTTGGAATAGTGATCCAGGGCCCAAGCCCCCACTTCCCCATGGGCACCTCCCCTGGCTGCTCCAGGTGCTCCCCCCCCATGCCCTCCAAAGTCTCTGCTCCCACCCACTTTGGGGCGTTGGTTGGTGATCTTGTGCCTGGACTGCGCTGGCCCCCTCCTCCAGACCCCACTCCAAGCCCCACTTCCTCAAGGGCACTTCCCTGACTGCCAGCTCTGGCCAGCCTTCCTTCAGTGGCTCAGGCATCATGATGACAGTGGCTGTTTTGTTCCTTGCTTCCACCCCAGTGCCTATATAGTAGCTCTTGAAGTTTTCTCTTTTTTTAAATTTGAGATGCAGTCTCGCTGTGTCACCCCAGCTGGAGTGCACTGGTGCCATCTCAGCTCACTGCAACCTCCCCCTCCTGGTTTCAGCAATTCACCCACCTTCGCCTCCCAAGTAGCTGGGATTACAGGTGTGCACCGCCATTCCCGGCTTTTTTTTTTTTTTTTTAGAGACGGAGTCTCACTTTGTCACCAGGCTGGAGTGTAGTGGTGCGATCTCGGCTCACTGCAACCTCCACCTCCCTGGTTCAAGTGATTTCCTGCCTCAGCCTCCCGAGTAGCTGGGATTACAGGTATGCACCACCACGCTGGTTTTTGTATTTTTTGTAGGGCTGGGGCCTCTCCATGTTGCCCCAACTGGTCTCAAACTCCAGACTTCAAAGCGATCTGCCCACCTCGGCCTCCCAAAGTGCTGGGATTACAGGTGTGAGCCACTGCGCCAGGCCTGGGACTCCTCTCTGATCCTGCTTCCCCTTCAATCCATGGGCAAGCCCCAGCACCTGCTATCTCCTAAAAACTCGTCTATATGCCGCGCACTTCCGTCTACCCACACTGCCTCATCTGTATTCCCAGCAATGCCTCCTCTCGCCTGGAATCCCAGCTCCCTTCTACCTCCGTCCCCTCCTCCAGTGGCTTCTCACACAGCTGCCAGTCATTTGTTGTAACCTCAAACATCTGACCAGGTCTCTCCTGTGGCTTCACACCTCCCATGGCTCTTAATGGTATGGAGGATGAAGTCCAGCCTCCACCCCTCTGCCTGCGAAGCCCACGTAATCTGGCCCCACTGAGGGCCATTCAAGCCTCTACCTATCCTCACCAGCCCCCTTTCCATTCCTGGAACGTGCTCAGCTCGTGTTCACCTCCCAGCTTCTTGTGGCGGTGCCCCTCTGCTGTGACTGTGGGTGGCTCCTTTTCAGACTCCAGGACTTGACTAAGACACCCTCCCTGCACATCCTATCTCAATGAGGCCACTGTGTTCCCTTCTTCCTTTTTTTGTTTTCCATGATGGAGTCTTGCTCTGTCACCCAGGCTGGAGTGCAGTGCCACAATCTCGGCTCATCGCAACCTCCGCCTCCCAGTTCAAGCGAATCTCCTGCTTCAGTCTCCCATGTAGCTGGGATTATAGGCACGTGCCACCACATCTGGCTAATTTTTGTATTTCTAGTAGAGATGGGGTTTCACCATGTTGGCCAGGCTGGTCTCGAACTCCTGACCTCAGGTGATCTGCCTGCCTCGGCCACCCAAAGTGCTAGGATTACAGGGACAAGCCACCACGTCTAGCCAACCCTTAGTTTTTGTTCACAAATACCTGGTTGCCTGACGAATCCTTAGCACACAGAAAAGCGTCTGGCACACGGTAGGTGCCTAATGAACATTTGCCGATCGATGGGAACCCACATGAGAAGGTGAACCTCATAGCTGAACCCGAGAGAGAAACAAGGGGACGCTCTAACACCGCGGCCCTCCCACCTCCCTGCCTCCCACCCTTACCCTGCTCACCTATGACTCTGAGTGAGGTCAAGCCCCGGACGGGGCCCTTGGGGAAGGTGGCAAACTCGCAAGTGTAGTTGCCCTCGTCCTCCACCGTGAGCCCTTGGAGGGCCAGCGTGGCATCCTGGAGCTCCGCCTCTGTGTCTTGCCCAGTGCTCTGCTTGGCAGAGACAAAGGACAGCCGCTCGCTGCCGGGCTCCGGGCTGGGGAAGCTGGCACCCAACTTAGGGTGGAAGGCGGCCACATTCTGTTGTTTCACAGGTACGTCTGAGCGCTCCCAGGTCACCAGGGAGACGAACAGTCCAGGAAGAGGGGAGAGCAGGTGGCACGGCAGCTCCACGGTGCCCCCAAGCTGGCCACGCACCTCGGGAAGCACTTGAACTCGCACATCCTGGGCTCCTGGGCAGAGAGGACAGACAGTGAAGTAGTCAGGTCAGGGAGGGACCCAGAAACCTCCAGGCAGGGCCATCATGAACGGGGACCCACAAGAAATGCAGGCTCCAAATGCAATATAGGCACCTTCACAGCCAAATAAGCTACCTGGAAAAGACATTTTAGGGAAGACTAAAATGACTATTCTATTATATTACTATAACATGTACTATGAGTCCATATTACATATGATTTGGGAATTGCTGTTAATATTCCTAGGTGTGATAATTAAATTGATATCAGGAGTTTGAGACCAGCCTGACCAACATCCCATCTCTACTAAAAATACACAATTAGCTGGGGGTGATGGCACATGCCTGTAATCTAAGGTACTTGGGAGGCTGAGACAGGAGAATCGCTTGAACCTGGGAGGCAGACACTGCGGTGAGCCGAGATCCTGCCATTGCACTCCAGCCTGGGCAACAAGAGCGAAACTCCGTCTCAAAAAAAAAAAAAAGTTGACATGATGGCCAGGGTCGTGGCTCAAGCCTGTAACCTCAGCACTTTGGGAGGCCAAGGTGGGAGAATTGCTTGAGCCCAGGAGTTCAAGACCAGCCTGGGCAACAGAGTGAAACCCTGCCTTTAAAATTAAAAACCAAAATAAATAAATAAAAGTTTTCTTTTCTTTAAGTTAAACTACATTTTCCCCCGACAGGGCCTCACTTCCACCCAAGCTACAGTGCAGTGGGGCGACACAGCTCACCGGAGCCTCGACCTCTCAGGTCTAAGCAACCTCTCACCTCAGCCTCCCAAGTAGCTGGGACTACAGGTGTGCACGACCACACCTGGCTAGTTTGTAATTTTTAAAATATTTTTTGTAGGGAGGATGTCTCACCATGGTGCCCAGGCTGGTCTTGAGCTCCTGGACTCAAACGATCCTCCCACCTCGGCCTCCCATAGTGCTGAGATTATAGGTGTGAGCCACCACACCCCCCCAACCTCAAAATTTTCATAAGATGTTTCCTGGCGGGGCGGGGGGGAATTCTCTGAAAATAAATCCATAAAACTATACATAAATCTCTTATAAAATACATTTTGAAACATTTAAAGGCTGAGGATAGTCTTCATTCCCCCTTATTAATATGCTTTCTCTCACCGTCCTATGAAACCTATAGCTCCCTCCCTACATAGTATTTTTCCCCAAGTTTATTTGTTTTTTTTTTTGAGACTGAGTCTCACTCTGTTGCCCAGGATGCCAGGATGGAGTGCAGTGGCACAATCTTGGCTCACTGAAACCTCTACCTCCCAGTTCAAGTGATTCCTGTGCCTCAGCCTCCTGAGTAGCTGGGATTACAGGCGGGCGCCACTATGCTTGGCAAAATTTTGTATTTTTAGTAGAGACGGGGTTTCACCATGTTGGCCAGGCTGGTCTTGAACTCCTGACCTCAGGTGATCTGCCCCCTCCTTGCCCTCCCAAAGTGCTGGGGTTACAGACATGAGCCACCTCGCCCAGCACCTATCCTTTTTTATGGCTGTGTAGTATTCTATGGTAGACATATACCACATTTTCTTTCTTTTGTTTTTTACTGTAAGTTCCAGGTTACATGTGCAGGATGTATAGGTTTGTTACATAAGTAAACATGTGTCATGGTGGTTTGCTGCACCTATCAACCCATCACCTAGGTAGTAAGCAGAGCACACATTCGCTATTTTTCCTAATGGTCTCCCTTTCCCCACACCATCCACCAATAGGCCCAGTGTCTGTTGTTCGCCGCCTGTGTCCATGTGTTCTCATTGAGTAGCTCCTACTTGTAAGTGAGAACATACAGTGTTTGGTTTTCTGTTCCTGTCTTAGTTTGCTGAGGATAATGGCTTCCAGTGCCATCCATGTTCCTGTAAAGGACATAGTCTTGTTCCTTTTAATAGCTGTATTGTATTCCATGGCATATATGTACCACATTTTCTTTATCCAGTCTATCCATGATGGGCATTTGGGTTGAGTCCATGTCTTTGCAATTGTGAACAGTCCTGCAATGAACATTCACATGCATGTATCTTTGTAATACAATGATTTACATCTCTTTATATACCCAGTAATGTGATTGCTGGGTCAAATGGTATTTCTGGTTCTAAATCTTTGAGGATCTAGAACCGTCTTCACAATGGTTCAACTTATTTACGTTCCCACTAATATTGTAAAAGCATTTCTATTTCTCCACAACTGTGCCTGCATCTGTTGTTTCTTGACTTTTTTTTTTTATTTTAAAGATGGGTTTCACCATGATGGCCAGGCTGGTCTTGAACTCCTGACCTCAGGGGATCCACCCACCTTGGCCTCCCAAAATGCTAGGATTACAGGCATTAGCTACCATGCCCGGCCTTGTTTCTTGACTTTCTAAAGATGGCCATTCTGCCTTGCGTGAAATGACATCTTGTGGTTTTGATTTGCATTTCTCTAATGATCAGCGATGTTGAGCTTTTTTTTTTCATGTTTGTTGGCCGCATGTATGTTTTTTGTTTTGTTTTGTTTTGTTTTGTTTTGAGAAGCAGTTTCACTCTTGTTGTCCAGGCTAGAGTGCAATGGTGCAACCTCGGCTCACCACAACCTCCACCCCCTGTGTTCAAGCGAGTCCCGTGCCTCAGCCTCCTGAGTAGGAGGCGGTTACAGGCATGCACCACCACGCCTGGCTATTTTTGTATTTTTAGTAGAGATGGGGTTTCTTCATGCTGGTTAGGCTTGTCTCGAACTCCCGACCTCAGGTGATCCGCCCATCTTGGACTTCCAAAGTGCTGGGATTACAGGTGTGAGCCACTGCGCACAGCCATGCATGTCTTCTTTTGAGAAGTGTTTGTTCGTGTCCTTTGCCCACTTTTTAAGGGGGTTGTTTTTTTTCTTGTAAATTTGTTTAAGTTCCTTGTAGGTTCTGGATGTTAGACCTTTGTCAGATGGATAGATTGCAAAAATTTTCTCTTACTCTGTAGGTTGTCTGTTGGCTCTGATGATAGTTTCTGTTGCTGTGCAGAAGCTCTTTAATTAGATCCCATTTGTCAATGTTTGCATTTGCAGCAATTGCTTTTGGCAATTTTTTCATGAAATCTTTTCCCGGTAGATATAGACCACATTTTCCTTATTCAATCCTCCATTCATTGATGGACACTTAGGTGGATTCCGTATCTTTGCTATTGTGAATAGTGCCACAATAAACATAAAAGCATGGTGTCTTCTTTTAGATATAATAATTTCTTTTCCTTTGGGAGGACACTCGGTAGTGGAATCCTGGACCGAATGGTAGTTCTACTTTTAGTTTTTTGAGAAATCTCTGCTGTTTTCCATAGGAGGCTGTACTAATTTACATTCCCATCAACAGTGCAGAAGGGGATCCTCACCAGCATCTGTTGTGTTTAGACTTTTTAGTAACATTCTGACTGGGGAGAGATGGTACCTCGCTGTGGTTTACATTTGAATTTCTCTGATCATTAGTGATGTTGAACATTTTTTCAGATGTTTGTTGGCTGCTTGTATATCTTCTTTAGAAAAATGTCTCTTTGGGCTCATTGTTCATTTTTTACGTAGGATTTTTTTTTAACAGCTTTCTTGAGTTATAAATTCTTATACTACACAATTCACCCGTTTAAGGTATATAATTGGGGGTGGGTGCAGTGGCTCACGCCTGTAACCCCAGCACTTTGGGAGATCAAGGCAGGTGGGCCACTTGAGGTCAGGAGTTCAAGACCAGCCTGGACAACATAATGAAACCCTGTCTCTACTAAAAATACAAAAATTAGCCAGACGTGTTCACTTGAACGCAGGAGGCAGAGATGGCAGTGAGCCGAGATCATGCCACTGCACTCCAGCTTGGGTGACAAAGTGAGACTCTGTCTCAAAGAAAAAAAAAAAAATATGTATGTATGTGTGTATATATATATATATATATATATATATATACACACACACACAGCTTTTTTTGTAACATATATTTTTCTATAAAAAAGAAAAGTAAAATAAAAATTCAGTGGCTTTCAGTATATTTGGAGTTTTACATCTGTTGCTATAATCAATTTTAGGGCTTTTATTTATTTATTTTTTGAGCGGGAATTTGGCTCTGTCACCCAGGCTGTAGTGCAGTGGTGCAATCTTGGCTCACTGCAACCCCCGCTTCCCAGGTTCAAGCAATTCTTCTGCCTCAGCCTCCGTGTGTGACACCATGCCTGGCTAATTTATTTTTATTTTTATTTTTATTAGAGA